TGATTTAATTTATTGATGATACAAGAACTGTAACACTTTATTTTAAATCTATTGCATTTGCCTTAGTTTGATATTTCACGAATTTAATTTCTAATTTTTGATGTTTTGTAAGCACCGGCCTTGAAGCACCGGTTAAAGCAAAATTAGGTGAACATATCATTTATCTTGAAAGGACCGTGAAAACACAAAAAGTGTTTTTAGTATTTTGTATGGAAGACGCAATATCCTTTTGTTTACATTTTGCTTCTTTATTTATATTATTTTGCATCTTTCGCTGGTACATCACGTGATAAGCAGCTTCTTATATGACAAAAATCTATTTTTAAACCATGAAGATAGTAACCATAGATTTGTTTTCACTTCAGCAGAAAATAATGTATTTATTTCTGGGACTTAATTTTGAATTTGTTTCTTTATTGCCCTTAAGCGATATCTCAGTTTCTAGATTATAATTAGTATCTAACACTAACTTTGTCATTCTTTACAATATCTGATCCCTAAGATCCAGAAAAATAATTTTCAAAGGGTAACGAGACACGCTAACCTACTTTTGTTGCCTGAGAAAGAACAGAAAGAAATCTAAAATATTAAATCAAGCTTATTTGGAAAGAAACAATCTTACACAACATTGTTGAATTAAATATTAATATACCATTTTGAGAAAGGTTTTCAATTAATACTTAGGAAAACATTTTACCAGAAGACAAAAGTAAACATTCACCAGAAGACAATATCTGTGGATGAAAGTTATATTCATGAATAAAAAAAACTGTTATGTCAATTTAAGTCATTCAAATGTTTATTGCAATTAATGATTTACATATAGCAAAGACATCATACAATGTAGCTATTGTTTAGCACTCTTAGAACAACAATTGATATTTTCTTTTGATAATGACATAAAAGTCAGAATAATTAGGTTGTTTTTACAATGACATAAGAGATGACAAAGTGTGATGTACATAAATGTTAGTCATCAGACATTAAGGCACCGATGAATGAATATGTTACGCGAGCTTTTTGTATGTGAAATCATTGTGTTTGATGTATTAATTGTTTTGTATTTGGAAAAGCTTTTGTTTGTTTCGTATTTCATGGTACCAGTTCAGCAAGTACTTCTGCAAGTCAGATCACTGTCAAAAGATAAAAGTTTCTCGTCAAATATCAATAGGGAATTAGAGAATGGCCAATGTGCAATTCAAATCAATTCGCATGTGGAACTGCCTTTAAAAAAAAAGAAACCTAGTCTGCTAGCGGAAAATGATATTACATCTACCTTTGTGACAAGTGCAGACAGTGATCGGCCGGTACATGTGGCTGATTATAGTCTGTACTAATCGCCCTACATTAAGTGCTGTCGTCTTTATTAACACACAAATGATCACGTTCATTTCATGGATAAATAATGTCCAAGAGGGGTATTTAAAGCTGAGCAAATCACCAAAAGCTGGTTTGCATATTATTTTAATTCAGATACAAAGCACAAGAATTCAGCATAAATGTTTAAAAAAAGACAATTGAGCAAACAGTATGTTTAATATTTTTATTAATTTTCTAGTTTATATAAAAACAATTGTCACAAAATTGGTTTTAACAGAAAGCCAGCGACATGTTTACAAAGAAATGTATAATAGTGTCAGTGCATCATAGTGTGAGCAAAGGTAAATAGCGGCTTTGAAAGATAATGATATATTTGGCTTCGTATATAATAAAAAAGCAGAAAGGTCATACCGTTAATTAGAAATGTACTGTCAATAGGATTGATTTTTTGCGAGTATCTGAAACGTCATTCATGATGTCAAATGACAGGAAAAGGTTATCGTATTCATATTCATATCCAAATTGTAGATCAAATAGCTTAACTGCGCTTCACCAAAATGTCATGGTTAAACTGTTTCATAAAATTAACCATAAACTCCGGACCTGCAATCAATTAATATGCGTCATATTTATCATAGCAGTTATGATTGTCATAACGAGATCGTACTCCGGAGTTTTGTTATTGTTTCGTATATTAATGTTGCAATGAAATTCAAACATGGTGAAGAGGGGTGGTGGAAATCCAACCTATTTGCACTATAATTCTAAGAAATTATTTTATTTATAATTCATATATATTCTTTGATTTAGTCGCAAGAAAATGTTATTAATCTGATTCCTTTGCAACAAAAATCGAAACCTGTGTTAAATAATAAAATAATAATGTTAATGCGATATATTCCACTCACTCAGACCGATCGAATAATATCTCATGAGCATTTGCTAATAAAAAGTGAAATATTGAAAATGGCCGTCACACCAAAAATAAAAAATATCTTAGTTAAATACGGAATTCAACACAAAAATTATCTCACAATTAATGTAGATTTGTTTTACTCCTTTATATAGGTTAGCACAACTTAATGTAGAATGTCTCCCTATACTCGTTTTTTACAATAATACAGATGTGTCCAGTAATATAATCAAATAAAAAATAAGCAACTTTAACATGCCCAAGATCTATTATTAAAATATAAATAGAGTATAATGTCTGAGGACAAAAATGTGTTTCTCTCTGTGGCTAAATTTTGATTTCGTTTCGTTATTGCCTTTAAAGCGATATCTCAGTTTCCAGATTTTCAAATTTTAATTAGTATCTTACACCTCCTTTGTCATTCTTTGCAATAATTGATCCCTATGATCAAGCAAAATGACTTTAAGAGCTTCAGGGTAAGAAACACGACAACCTATTTTTGTTTTTTCAAAGAAATCTTAAATACAAAACCTAGTTTTTTGGTTTTGTATAATTAAATATTATTATATTTTGAATTATATTGGCAAAAGCTGTCAGCTTGTATTGCTGTTCGCTTAATATGTAAACATTTAACCAGAACAATCTGTTGATGAATTTTACATTGCTTATGTTAATCACTATTATTTGAATTCAAATTTAGTTCAAATGTATATTGAAATTTCGCATTTTACATAGTATGGCAAACAGTTTATAATACAATGTAGCAATTGATAAGCACTCTTAGGACAATTGATATTTTCTTTTGATAATGGCGTAAAGGTCAGAAATAATCAGGTTGCTTTTACAATTACATAATTGATGACAAAGTGGGATGTACATAAAATGTTAATCATCAGACATCAAGGCACCGATGAATGAATATGTTACGCGAGTTTTGTATGTGTATAATCATTGTGTTTTGATGCATTATTTGTTTTGTATTTGGGAAAGCTTTTGTTTATGAGTACTTCATATTACCAGTTCAGCAAGTAATTATGCAAGTCAGATCGCTGTCAAAAGATAAAAATAGATTCAAACCAATTTATAAATGTTTATCGTTAAAATAGCAATAGGAAATTAGAGAATGGCTATTGTGTAATTCGATTAAATTCGCATTTGGAAGTGCCTTAAAAGAAAACCCCTTACCCTGATTATAGCCCTCCAGTTAGTACTGCTAACGATCATATAAAGAAATTGTCAAGTCTATTTTATAGATATTAAGCGTCCAAAAGGGGTAAAATGAGTTTTGAATGGTGAGGCATTTTAAGCCGAGCAAACCACCAAAAGCTAGTTTACTCATTATTTGCATTCAGATACAAAACACAAGAATAAAGCATAAACGTTTGAATAAACAAGCAATCAAACAGTGTGTTTACTGTCCGTATTTTAAGTTTATGTATAAAACAATTGTCTGGGAAATAGTTTTATCTGAAAACCAGCAACATATTGACATAGAAATGTATAATAGTGTGCATTATAGAGTATACACGGGTCAATAACGGTCCGGAAAGATAATGATATATTTGAGTTTGTATCGCCATTCGTTCAAGCATTTTTGCACAAATGTGATGTAAGAGGATTTCTGGTAGGAAAGATAATTAGAGCTTATTTAATAAAGAAGCATATAGGTCATATCGTTAATAAGAAATGTACCATAAGGTCGAATTTTCTTTTTTCATGAGTTTCCGAAACGTAGTAAGTGATGTGCCCTGGCTTACCTGAAAAGAAACGGTTATCATGTTCGTATCAAATTGTAGATAAAAAAGGTTAACTGCACTTTACTAAAATGCCAGGGTTTAATTCTACGTCAGTATCACTGTTTCATAAAATCAGTCATGACGTAATATGGATTTAATTGATATTGGTTAGTTGTACTATTCAAACAAAATTATCCAGAATATATATCTTTTGAAATTTTAACTTCGTGGGAAGGGCTGGTGCTACAATCATATAATACAGGTGCGTTGGGTTATATAATAAAAGAAAAAAAAACCAAAAGGACTGCAACCTTCGGAAAATAATATGTCTTTTTTCAATTTTAGCATGTTTAACAGAATGAAGAAATCCCTCCTTTGTTTTGATAAATGGACAAGTTGCATGTTATATGCTTCTTGATGGGATTACTCAATGTTTTAACTCAGTTGTTTAAAAATTGCATGCACTTTTGTGTCGTCTGTTATATTAAAGAAGTACAAATAGTCATGTTTTGCACTGAGTAGCAACTCACTACTTTACTTCGTCGCAATACATATCTAGTACTACATTTTTATAAAGCTACCCGCTCAGTGCAAAGGGTGTGAGTATATGTGCTTCGTTAAACAAAAAGAATAACGATGTTTTAAAAATAAAACACGTATGTAAATGAAACTTAAATTTATACATGTATAAATATAGGTTGTTTGTTTTACATCCAATGTATGCTATAGCTTTGTTAGGGTTATATCAGACAATCTATGACTGATAGCATCGCTTAAACACAAAAGCCGGTGTCGTTTTACACGACCTGTCACACATCTCACTTGTACGTAAAGATTGTTGTATAAAATATTTGTTTTGTGCATTGAATGTAAATGACTATTTTACAATCTATTTAAAGCATGCCTGATATTTATGTTACATCGAGCGAGTGCAAACAATTTTATTTTTAGATGTATAATTAATTGATGCATGCAATAAGATTATTATGCATTACTAACTTAAAGATATGTGTTATATAATTTTATGATAAAGATTTGTGAACATTTTTTTTTTAGTTTGAATTCAAGCATTATCGAGTTGTTAATGTTGATACTAAACCGGATATATACTACCTATTAATTCAAAAAACATATGCTTCAGTTAGATTATATATTTCCTAAAAGCTTATGAAAAATTATGTGTTGTTCATGAAGGAGTACGTTCTACAGATTGCAATAGAAAACAATTTAATTTAGCATATCAAGATTACATTTAGTTCAAAAACAACGACAGGGTAAGAATTACAACTTTATTTTCATCAATAATGCAACGTTTCAAAGTACATATTGTAAGCTTCTTGTTGTAATTTGTATTTTATTGTTTCTTTTGTGGGGTTTTTTGTGTGTTTTTTGTTGTTGTTGTTTTTTCTATTCACTAAGATCAGTGAGATCAGTGCTAGTAAAGAAACATATGAATTGATTATTTAACAAATGTATTACAATTGATTAAATCTGAATGCTCTGAACAATATCTTATTTTAGACTTATTACTATAAAAAGAGTTAGTCGAAAGGAAGTTAATAACAGAATACCTGCTGTATTTATTTCAATACATTAAAATGAGTTTTTAAAGGATTCATGTAACACGATGCTTAGATGAAGTGTTGTTTTCGTTCTCTCTCTCTATAATTTCAAAAGAAATAGGCTTAGTTGACAAGTTTTTTTTTATCTAGTATCATTTCGCAGAAAATAGCATCAGCTGCGTGTTGAAAAAAAGAAATAAATGGATATATTATTTCAAGAATCAAATATGACGACAATGTATCAACTGTAGAAATCATATTTCGTGTATGCTTAAAAATATCTATGTGTAATATTATAGTTTAGGATTGTTATTTCCAAGATAAAAAAAAATGCTATTTCAAATGACAATATTTTCATAAACAATATCAATGCGTCGACACTGACGTGCTACAAAACAACAAATTAAAGTACATTAAAGTTTGAAATGCTTACAAAAATGTTTGCAAATTTAGAAGAAAAAAAAGGAAAATGGCGAAAGAAACATGTACGCACTCACACATACACAAATAAACTGACAACCACATGTAAATATCATATCCGTTTAGTTGTTTTAATGTTTCATACTACCTTAAAATATAGAGTGTAAGATTATACGATAAAACATGTAAAGTTTACCAAATATAATAGAACGTGTTAAACTACAATTTTACATTAAATAACACATTTGATTCAAGGTGATACACAAAACACCGATGATTAATAACAAACATGGTATATATGTATGTTCCCTTTGTGACTGAGGGGTTGCCTTTACGGGTCGAGGCATCAGAATTACAACCACCGATAAACACTGCGTTAGTGGCGACTAAATGCGTTCAAATTATTGTAGTCTATACGCATGTCTTATCTCCAGCAGGCGATGTGGTTTTGGCCCCTGGTGTTGCTTTAACATCCAAGTCTAGGCAAAATCATCTTTTCTGTGTTGGCGCCATAAGATCTAATTATATAAACTGTGTGAGTGAGCCTTAAAACCAAACCAAACAAAAGAAAGAAACAAATATTAAATAGATGTATGTAAGGCCAAGAAAAAAAAGGTTCTCACTTTCATTTCTGAAGCCGATGTGTTAATGTATATATCTACAGCTAAAAAAGTGCTCAGTTTAAATAATGCAAAGTTAACTCAGAATTTGTCATGTTGATTAAAAAATTTAAGCTATTTCAAGACTACTCGTTGGTGGAGTTCTCAATAGATTGTTGAAATCTAGTCATATTGTTTGTACTTATCAAAACAAATATTCTAGTGCATTTATTCGTTGTAATAACCTGATTTCATAATAATTATTAAATTCGTGTAAGCTCAGGCATATGCTACATTTATATAACATACGTTGTCTATTTAAGTTATCTGATAATAATATCACTTTAATTCTAAATTAATTTTAGTAAACTAGAATTATTTTAAATAGCAAATATCTGACAAATAACATTCAATGATTTTGTGATCGCTGTTATTTAGATGTAATGCTCGACTACATAAGTGTAATTAAAGTGGATTGGTCTACAATGGGCTCATTTTCCATTGGTATTTTAAATATAGATAAAGCCAATAGGAACATTTGGATATTCTTACAAAATGCAGTTTAAAAAAGAAATGTGGAAAAAGTTCTTAGAGATTTACAATGGCCATTTATTTTTACTTTTTTTTTGTTCTAGAACATTCTTAGACTATTATATGCTTTGTAAATTTTTGTAATATCGGATCATGTATCGCCCACTTGCCAACAACTTCCATGTATAATTTATTCGTGGTTTGTTGTTACTTCTAATACTATCAACGAAAATTATGCATTGTATTACAGGCCTTCCATTATAAACCAATTCACTTTTAAGATACGAGCATTTTATTGTAACAGAGAACAACTTTGTCAATAAAATGTTAACGTTTGGGAATCTTCTTTTGCAATTATGATTGTTATGAAATGGTAAATCAAATTAAAATACTTCCGCATTTCATTTAATTCCTTAATTATATTTCTAACCAGCAACTTAAACAGGAAGTTTTATCACGTTTTTATAAGATATTTTTAGACGAGTTACATGTACGGGCGTAAAATTGAGAAAGGTAACTACATTAGAGCCACGAACAAATAACACTATTTTGTTTGGGTTTTTTTACCATTTACAGAACTGAAAATAAATTGAAAACATAAAAATTATTATAAGAGCGTGAGTAATTTATAAAACAACTAAAATAGTCCCTAGTTAATTTTAAAAATCAATACGGCCTACTATATTTTACATTATAACAAGAAGACAAATTACATTTAACAAAGGTTAAATTTAAGATGTTCATCTTAATATCGCGTTTATTATTTCAAATAATACATCAAAGAAAAATGGCACCATATCTAGGCTCTGAATCGCCGTGAATTCGTAGATTTTTTTTAATGGTTACATCCACAAAAACGATTGTCATAATTTGAAACTTACGATATGAAATTGTTTAAGTCTTGAAAAGTTTTCTTTCACCTGTGAAATGTTTGACACACCATACTCCGACTCACATTCTTATTTTTAAGAACATTAAATTGCATTCTCAAATTATTTTACAAGAGTTGTAATTTATTACACGTTACACACATCTCGAAAACGTATTCATCGAAATATGTGATAGATGTATGCATAAAAGTAAAACTATTTACTATATAGCTTGTATTTGGTGACTTATAAGCCCATTTGGCCTGGTGGTTTCTTGGTGTATTTCCTTTGTTAATACATGTATCCCCTTTGTAACATGTTACAACTATAATTAATAAAATACTATTTACTTATCAGCAATAATCACAACAAAATCACTTAACTTTTCCATTTTTCACATTCCATTTCAGAAAAAGACGACTTATTATCAAACAATAATTGATTGCTTGATTTTAGACATAATCATCAATCAACTCTTTTAATCATTTGTAACCCAGTTTATTGTTTTTCATTAAATATTTATAGCTACTGATTCGTGTCATATAAATATGCAACTAGGTATGCAAGTATCACCAACTTTATATGAGCCGCGTCACGACAAAACCAACATAGTGGGTTTGCGACCAGCATGGATCCAGACCAGTCTGCGCATCCGCGCAGTCTGATCAGGATCCATGCAGTTCGCTTACAAACCCTACGACAAGTAGAGAAACTGATAGCGAACAGCATGGATCCTGATCAGACTGCGCGGATGCGCAGGCTGGTCTGGATCTATGCTGGTCGCAAACCCATTATGTTGGTTTTGTCGTGACGCGGCTCATTTATGGGAACTTCGTCATATCTCTCATATCTAAAACTACATAAAAGACGAAAAAATGCAACTAACGGACCATAGTTGAACTAATGAGGCAGTTGACAACAATAGTATTTAAATATTACATTGTTTAGAATTGCTATTCTAATGGTATGGTTTAAATTATTCAAATGTTCTGTCAAACACTTGAGAGACAGAAATGTGTGTGGCTTTTCACAGAAATGATTGATTAAAACACAATGGTATGGTTGAGCAAATTTACGATGAACTAATGAATTGTTCAATGAAATAAAACATTAAAACACGTCCTTTGGGAGGATAAAAGTGTCAAAAATGATTTTTTTACATAAGTCTTCAACATGCTGAAAGACCAGCATCACATTGGTTTATAAATAAAAAATAAGGAAAATCAAATTTTCGGAAAAAAGATTGAACATGCATAATTTTAAGCGATAAAATCTGCGAGAATACAAAGATATAAAAATAAATATTAAAGTTGTTCTGAAAGGGTTTGGACATAAACTAATGTGATTATCATAAAAATTATTCATGATACTTTGTCGAGTCAATTGACATTTGAGATTTTTTCTTGTTTGATACATCTAAAGGACTTTTTGACGTCAGAAAATTAAAACAAGGTAACTACATGTTCCTGATTTGTTAGAGTCAACACACAATACCCATTGGTTTGTTAGTATTTTGTTAATTAATCCTTAAAATTCAAATGGACTTCAAGTATTCTAAATAAGACATTACCTGAAATTAGGTCGTCATGGGTTTAGAGGAATCGATGCACGATAGCTGTTCATTACCCCCTTTTTAAGTTTTTATGAGTTTATCACTATCAATGCATCAATTATTTATGACATGCATATCTCTGGGAAAGTTCAACAAACGATTAGCCTTTTCTACGTCTAAAATACGGTGTTTTTTTTTACCATGGAACATTTTGTGATCTGCGTGGGGCAGAAAACCAATACAAAAATACGACGAAGTTTAAAGCCGTCTCATTCTAAAAGCATACACTTAAGATGCTGTTTAATTTGGGTAGAAATCAGTATTTTTCATAAATTGAAACGGCGTGCTCAGACAAACAGAAATGGGCGCTGTTTCACTTGACGTCAAAAATATTGATTTTTCCTCAAAAAAAAACAACAACATTTTATGTATTGTTACCTTTTTGAATGATTATTTTATACCCATATAACAATGGAATTTAACAAAATCTATATATATTGAAAAATATATCCTGGATCAACTTCACTGATGATTTATGCCCAAAGCAGATTACTTAAAGTCACGTAGTATAGGCACCGCGTAAAACTTATTTTCCGTTAAAGAAATCGGTGTAACACTGATCAATAAACTACTTCACGTTATTTATTTTTTAATCTTTATTCCTCTTTAGAAATGATTTCCAAGATACGTTCTTGTACAGATTGTTATTTTTACATTAAATGGTCAAAATAATGGGTCTAA